ACTGGAAACCTCACATAACTTCAGAAATAAAACATAAAATAGTTTTTAATCTTTATATCATTTAAGGCATTGTTGGAAATGCATACATGATTAACCGTTACTGATAGACTTAATATATTAAAATGGATATAGAAGTTCTCCATCAGAATAATATCACTGCTACATTAGTTTTCTGTATTGAAAAAAAAAAGCAAAAATTAACTTAATTCAAACACTGTACATTTTTCTTGTTTAATGGTTTAAGATCATTGTATTTTAACTTTGTAAAACCTTTTTTTTTTTGCTGTTCACAAAACTTGCAAGTACTTTGCAATCCTGAGCAGTGCCAATACCTTGCCCTGTTAAGTGTGTGTGTGTAAATTGTTCAGATTATCATGGCTAATATGCATATATCTGTATTATGTTGTTCAGAACAAAGGAGAGGTTGTGTATTATTAGGATGTCATGTAACATGCAGGCATGTTGTTTTGTTTATGATTTATTTTTCTTTTAGAGATTTCCTTTAGTTATTGTGTGACAGATTCTTTCCGCTTGTGTATTTCCTTTAGACTAAGGAAAACGGAGACATTCCTGTAATTGTGTTGAAGATCTTTGCCTTTCTTTGTTCTTATTCCATAGTATGTTCTGGAATCTGCACTTCCTTTATTAAGCTCCTGCTTGTTTCTCGCTTTTATTTGGTCCATTACGCACTGTACTGATGAAGATATTCCTGACTGCATTTTACAACCCAGCTTCCATGATGAGGAAATGTTCTGTATATGGATAAGTATGGCACAGTGAGGATTAAGGAGATGGATCACAATAAACTCCTTCATCCTCTTGTTTCCACAGAGTCATTGACTGTTCTGTGTGTTTATCTGACCGATGGTCAAGTACATTAAACAGTCCTCAATAAGAGTTAGCATTACTCCCCAGAAGACGTTAGGACACAGTGGTTTGCGTTCAGCATCCTTCCTCTCCTGGAGCTCTATTGCTGAAACAATAGACTTTGTTTATTATTGTTACTGGACAATACTGAAACTGCACAATGCTATGGCAGACCTGTTACTAAATGTGGCCATAATGTGATTCTGTACAAAGTAGATGAATAATAAATGTAAAGTTGGTTAAAATGATTATTACAGATCCCATGTTTTTGTTGATATGTTTAATAAGCAATTCTCTAACATTAACCTATGTTAATGAAAAATAGGCAGTTTCAAACGTCAAACTGGCATAAGAAAAAGTTTTAAGCTTTAATTTATGGTGAATAAGTTTATCTAGTGAATGGTAGCTTAATTTAGGCTAAATTTGCAACCCTTTTTTTGGCAACAAATTTTATTTGTCAGTTTTAGGAATTATTTCTTTTTTTTTTTTCCATGAATGCTTGAAAATCGCTAAATAACACAAAACAGGATTTTAAGTTAATTTTAAACATTAGACCCACTCCAAATTAGTAACAGGATTTCAAAATTGCAAGCTTCATAGAAAATAAATGGAAAATAAACAGCTAATTTAATATTCAGCTTGTTTTTCCTGCTGATTAAAAAATGTACACTGCTGTTCAGAACTTTGGTTTGGTAACATTATAAATGTATTTACAGTCATTTTGATAAATTTAATTAATTCTTTCTTAATAAAGGTATTATTTTATTTTATTTTTTAAAATCCTATTAACCTCAAACGTTTGAACAGTAGTGTACCTCCTTTCAATGACTATATTTATCAAAAAGATGAGTTTTTAAAAGTGTTTCCTACCTCATTAGTATAAAGTTCATTTCACTTTCAGACATGTAGAAACCCAGAAAGGCTTTTTAGGCCCGGTTTCACAGACAGGGCTTAGACTAAGCCAGGATTAGGCCATTGTTCAATTAGGAAATGTAAGTAATTTTTATTAACATGCCTTAGAAAAAACATTAATGGTGAGCATCTTGAGACAAAACAAAGGCACTGATATATTTTAAGATCAGTCAATGCAAGTTTCTTTTAGTTAAAACAGCTCATACTTACACTTTAGTCTGGAATAGGTTTACGCCTTGTCTGTGAAACTGGGGGTTAATGTGCTATATTCTGATTTAAAATCTTTGAACAGCGCAAGTTAAAACACCCATATCCATAAACTTAAGTGAGCTGGTGCGTAGGCTATATTCTTTGTTTCAATGATGTCAAAATCAAATGTATTATTGCTAATGCTGCTGTATCTTCAGTGCAGGAATTATTCATACTTAACTTCAATGACTCACAAAATACAATAAATGATTAGTATAAATGATTGGCAATTTAAGACAGAGCAGAAACCAGTCAGACTAGTAAAGATGAAAGATTCAAGATAGAGGAGGATCGGTTTTATCAGTTTTATAATCTGTGTGCATAACTCATAGACTACTACGATTTATATATGTGTTACTATGACACGTTAATGCAGGTCGTTTTAAAAGATCTTTTAAATTATAACTCGCTGTACACTTTTTAAATACGTTTTATTTTAATTTTAAAACAAACGTTGGTCGTTTTCAGCTAACAGAATGAATATTTCATGCTGCACACACCCAATATGGAAACACATGTGGTAGGCGGGCGCAGAGCGAGTGTGTGGTGTTGTGATCTACTGTGTGTTTGTCTATAGCCTGTCAGTCGCGCTGATCAGTGTAGCATGAGACTGTAAAACCTTTTTTTTTTTTTTTTGCTGTTCACAAAACTTGCAAGTACTTTGCAATCCTGAGCAGTGCCAATACCTTGCCCTGTTAAGTGTGTGTGTGTAAATTGTTCAGATTATCATGGCTAATATGCATATATCTGTATTATGTTGTTCAGAACAAAGGAGAGGTTGTGTATTATTAGGATGTCATGTAACATGCAGGCATGTTGTTTTGTTTATGATTTATTTTTCTTTTAGAGATTTCCTTTAGTTATTGTGTGACAGATTCTTTCCGCTTGTGTATTTCCTTTAGACTAAGGAAAACGGAGACATTCCTGTAATTGTGTTGAAGATCTTTGCCTTTCTTTGTTCTTATTCCATAGTATGTTCTGGAATCTGCACTTCCTTTATTAAGCTCCTGCTTGTTTCTCGCTTTTATTTGGTCCATTACGCACTGTACTGATGAAGATATTCCTGACTGCATTTTACAACCCAGCTTCCATGATGAGGAAATGTTCTGTATATGGATAAGTATGGCACAGTGAGGATTAAGGAGATGGATCACAATAAACTCCTTCATCCTCTTGTTTCCACAGAGTCATTGACTGTTCTGTGTGTTTATCTGACCGATGGTCAAGTACATTAAACAGTCCTCAATAAGAGTTAGCATTACTCCCCAGAAGACGTTAGGACACAGTGGTTTGCGTTCAGCATCCTTCCTCTCCTGGAGCTCTATTGCTGAAACAATAGACTTTGTTTATTATTGTTACTGGACAATACTGAAACTGCACAATGCTATGGCAGACCTGTTACTAAATGTGGCCATAATGTGATTCTGTACAAAGTAGATGAATAATAAATGTAAAGTTGGTTAAAATGATTATTACAGATCCCATGTTTTTGTTGATATGTTTAATAAGCAATTCTCTAACATTAACCTATGTTAATGAAAAATAGGCAGTTTCAAACGTCAAACTGGCATAAGAAAAAGTTTTAAGCTTTAATTTATGGTGAATAAGTTTATCTAGTGAATGGTAGCTTAATTTAGGCTAAATTTGCAACCCTTTTTTTGGCAACAAATTTTATTTGTCAGTTTTAGGAATTATTTCTTTTTTTTTTTTCCATGAATGCTTGAAAATCGCTAAATAACACAAAACAGGATTTTAAGTTAATTTTAAACATTAGACCCACTCCAAATTAGTAACAGGATTTCAAAATTGCAAGCTTCATAGAAAATAAATGGAAAATAAACAGCTAATTTAATATTCAGCTTGTTTTTCCTGCTGATTAAAAAATGTACACTGCTGTTCAGAACTTTGGTTTGGTAACATTATAAATGTATTTACAGTCATTTTGATAAATTTAATTAATTCTTTCTTAATAAAGGTATTATTTTATTTTATTTTTTAAAATCCTATTAACCTCAAACGTTTGAACAGTAGTGTACCTCCTTTCAATGACTATATTTATCAAAAAGATGAGTTTTTAAAAGTGTTTCCTACCTCATTAGTATAAAGTTCATTTCACTTTCAGACATGTAGAAACCCAGAAAGGCTTTTTAGGCCCGGTTTCACAGACAGGGCTTAGACTAAGCCAGGATTAGGCCATTGTTCAATTAGGAAATGTAAGTAATTTTTATTAACATGCCTTAGAAAAAACATTAATGGTGAGCATCTTGAGACAAAACAAAGGCACTGATATATTTTAAGATCAGTCAATGCAAGTTTCTTTTAGTTAAAACAGCTCATACTTACACTTTAGTCTGGAATAGGTTTACGCCTTGTCTGTGAAACTGGGGGTTAATGTGCTATATTCTGATTTAAAATCTTTGAACAGCGCAAGTTAAAACACCCATATCCATAAACTTAAGTGAGCTGGTGCGTAGGCTATATTCTTTGTTTCAATGATGTCAAAATCAAATGTATTATTGCTAATGCTGCTGTATCTTCAGTGCAGGAATTATTCATACTTAACTTCAATGACTCACAAAATACAATAAATGATTAGTATAAATGATTGGCAATTTAAGACAGAGCAGAAACCAGTCAGACTAGTAAAGATGAAAGATTCAAGATAGAGGAGGATCGGTTTTATCAGTTTTATAATCTGTGTGCATAACTCATAGACTACTACGATTTATATATGTGTTACTATGACACGTTAATGCAGGTCGTTTTAAAAGATCTTTTAAATTATAACTCGCTGTACACTTTTTAAATACGTTTTATTTTAATTTTAAAACAAACGTTGGTCGTTTTCAGCTAACAGAATGAATATTTCATGCTGCACACACCCAATATGGAAACACATGTGGTAGGCGGGCGCAGAGCGAGTGTGTGGTGTTGTGATCTACTGTGTGTTTGTCTATAGCCTGTCAGTCGCGCTGATCAGTGTAGCATGAGACTGCTATCTGCCTCTCAGAAACGATGCCACACCACCTAAAACTCCGGAAAACCCTTTGTTATCTACCTTTGAACACGACCCAGAAGGTCGTCTACCCTGACGGGCGCTTATACAGACCGAAAGGAGGGAGCCAAGGTAATAAATGAGACATTTATTTCACCTCGCATCCTGTTCAAGTAGCACATCCTGTTAGCATTAGCGGTTAGCCTGTAAACTCACAAGCATGCTGTGACAAACACTGGAGTGATGAAAGAGAATGTCGCAGAGTGCGTAAATTGGTAATATTTTTGTGTTTAGCCGGATTTTGTGTTTTTCATGTTATTATGAAACATTGTAACTTAGAGATAGTGGTTAGTTCGCGAATTGGACAGTCAAACCCTGATAGGTCATGCCAATCAATATCTGATTACCTGAGAAATAAATTAGGCCTACGGGTTCTAGCTATAGGTAACGTTACACTGGAATGGTTGTAGTATTAGTAGTTTCCTCCTCCTGATTTAAAACACTAATTCGATTTCTTGAATAAACATACAGGTAGTTTCAAAACCTAGTAAGCTGCTTACCTAGGGAGCATTTTGCCTATCAAACGTTTGTCTGGGGTGGCCAGAAATGCTGTCTAGTTAGGCAGGTCCTTATGTTTTGACTTACAGTCATATGTCAAATTAGGCTCTTGTCATTTTTTATGGATTTGGGAGACTGTACTTAAGGGAGTCTCAATCACAATTCGGTTTCATTGCATATTTTCTCCATGAAGGTGAATAGTGACTGAGGAACCAAAATTGGAACAATACATTATGAATGTCAGATGCCTTTAACTATTATATTTTATTAACCCTCTGGTACTTTGGGGTCACACTTGTCCTTGGTGGTGAAAACACACAGTTTTTAGAGTTTTTTCCTACCTCGTTAGTTTAAAGTCCCAATTATTATATCCATTTCACTTTCAGACATATATTAACCCAGAATTGATTGTTTTGTGTGCTTTGGACAGCACTACTAAGATGGCTTCCAATATTATATTATGTTAACCCTCTGGTAGTTATAACTGGGGTCACACTTGTGATCATTGGTGGTCAAAACAGACCGAAGACAATAAGCACGTCATACGGCTGTCCCTAGTTGCTTATGAGTATTTTCAGGCATAAGTACTTTTTTTTAGGTTTTGCATTTAGATATATATGTAGTAGAGATGTGCATCTCCATGACTCAGGCCGATACGATACGCATCTCGATGCATAGCCAACGATACGATACATTAAATATACACATGAAGCAGCTACCGATGCAATGCGATACGATTTACCCCTGTTACGATGCAGTGCAATCCGATTTCGATTCAACAGAATGCGATTCGATGCAATGGAGAAAATATGATCACTTTTAATGCCTCGAGGCCTGTTTCAAAAAAAAAAAGTTAACCAAATAAGCCAGGCTTATTTCAGTTAGTCTGACGTATTGTCAAATGATTTGGTTCCATAAAGCAAATTTAACATAGGCCTAGATCAAGCTTAGTCACTGTGGCAGCAACTTATGCTGGGAAACTAACCTGGTCTAAAGCAGGTAACTGTCAGACTAAGCTAAGCTCCTCTACTGACCAATAGGAACATAATGATATTACCACTGTCTCAGTTTATACTATTACTATTATTATTAC